CCCACAGCGATGTGGTTAACTCTTTAACTGCCTTGTGAAATGGCCCAGCAAGGCACTAGGTTTATTTTAATTCGCTTGTGGGTGTCACTGGCTAGACCAGCATTTATTACCTATCCCTAGTTACCCTCAAGAAAGTGGTGGTGAGCTACCTTCTTGAACTGCTGCAGTCCATGTGCTGTAGGCTGACCCATAATACTGTTAAGGTAAGGAATTCCAGAGACTTGACGCAGCAATAGTGAAGGAATAGTGATATATTTCCAAGTCAGGATGGTGAGTAGCTTGGAGGGTGGTGTTACCATATATTTGCTGCCCTTGTCCTTCTAGATGGAAGTGGTCATGGGTTTGGAAGGTGCTGTTTAAGGATGTTTGGACCAAGGGTTATAACGGATGGCTAATAAAGGATGGTGATGATTATGATGGTGGTAATTGGGCAATGGTGAAGCCATAAAATATCAAAAAGAAGTGACTATATTCTTTCTTGTTGATGACAGCTATTGTCTTCTGCTAGGGATGCTTTACATACTGAATGACATGGCATGCCATACCCAATACTTTCCCCCAGCACAAGGATTTGTTGAAATTACGGCAGGATCAGGTAATTAGAGAAACATTACAGTACACAATTCCAATGTGTTTATATGGATCTTTATTCATTTTACGACTCAGAGTGAGAACCCAGATGTAGTGCACTCCACGATCCCTCATGAATACTCGTGTACAGTGATTCACTTACAATTCTTATACTAATTCAGTTTTTGATCACTACATTCCATGCATACAACCACAAAATCAAAGTCCATCAAAGATACGTAAAAGAGACAGCAGCGTAACAACACAGAGTCAACAAGTTGCACTTATCTTGTTTCAATCTCTCCTATTCATGCTATTACTTCATTTTATTACTATAAGCACAGTGATCACAGCAACATCTCACAGACCATGAAGACATGGATGAATCACATTGACAGATTCCACCAGTACCTTATGCTGGCTTTTGAGTGACTTTTAGAATGTATCTCATTTTCAGCAGAAAAGCTGTATTTGCAATGCATGCTGATGCCACTACAGCCAGGATAACAAGGTACACAGGTAGTGTGAACCTTCATAAGCACACCAACCTCTTGGGTAGCCTGATCGTTATTGATCAACCCAGCTCTGAATGCTGTCCAGCTCGAGCTGGCATGAACAAAGAATATTTTATTACCCCAGGAGCTGTGAATGGAACAAAGTTCACCAAATAGCAACAGAAAGTCCTGGAGACACTCAGTATGGCACCCTCTACCATAAGCTACTGTTGAGGTACAGACTATAACATCATGCTGAAAAGAAGTTGGGCAAATTGTTTGAAGAGCAACAGAGAAAAGTCTCAGAAAACTGTTTAGAGTAAGCAGCTGAAATCTTGCAGAGGGCAACAGATCAAATGGCTTAATAAAAACCGAAAGAACTGCAGATGCTGTAAATCAGGAACAAAAACAGAAGTTGCTGGGAAAGTTCAGCAGGTCTGGCAGCATCTGTGAAGAAAAAATCAGAGGTAACGTTTCGGGTCCGGTGACCCTTCCTCAGAACTCAGATCAAATGGCTTCGGTGCTGTAATTTCCATTATAATCATTATGGGTTCAATCATTATAAATTAGGTTAAAGGATGCACTCAAATAAGAATGTTCATTGCACTTCAAGCATGATACATTTTGAGCAAAAAAAAACTTTTGTTGATTATTCAATCTGTATACATTTGAGTCTTCCATCACTGAAAGATTCAGTGCAACATACAATATAATTTCGTTCCAGGCAATTAATCATATTTAAGACATGTCTTCATCACTGCTCCATAGGCACAATTTGAAAAGATCACATCAGATTTGTCTTTGAGAGTCACGGAACAAAGAAGTAAAAGTAAAGCATCTAGTGATGATCTTGTGATAAAGTGCTACATAACCGGTTTGTCAGCAAAGTTAAAGTCTATGAATAAAAGGGACAGTAGCAACATGGATACTATCTCTGGGTACAAAATAGGCTGAGTGTCAGGAAACAGAGAGTGTGGCTAAACAGTTCTTTGTTGATCTGGAGGAATTTAGGGCCTGCTGGATCATTAGGAGGACCACTGCTTTTCTTAGTCTATTTCAGTAACTTAGATTTGGGTGTACAGGACACAATTTCAACATTTGTAATTGTCACAAAACTCAGAATGAACTCTAAACTATCAGAATCATGGCAGACTTCAGGAGGATGTTGAGAAGTTAATCGAATGGACAACATATGGAGGATGAAATGTAACGCAGGGAATTCTGAAATGGGCCATTTCGACAGGAAGAACAATGAGCGACAATGTCAACTAAAGGATACAATTCTATAGGGGACAGACGAGTAGAGAGACCTGGGGTTATAGCTGTATCAGTCATTAAAAGTAGCAGGCAAGTTGAGAAAGTGGTCATTAAGGATATGAGCTCATCAGTTTTAGAAACAGATACATGGAGTACAAAAGCAAGGAAGCTATGGTGAAAATTCAGAAAATAATGATTTGGCCTCAGCTGGAGTATTGTACTCAGCTCAGGGCTCTACACCTTAGGAAGGACATTAACAGTGTTCATCTTCCCAACAGTTTAAAACATAGATGACAAGATTAGTTGATAGTTTCGTATTAGTCTTAATTGGACAATGAATGATGTCAAATTTGTTACAACTGTATTTATAAACTAAATCTTTAAGACTATTTGAAAGGGCAATATATATTAAGCTGCATTGAATAAAAGAAAATCTTTAAGAAATTGTAAACCTGTGTTTTAACAAAGTGAATCAAGTCTGATTTCCTAAATCCTTCAGATATAATGTACTTTTACAACTTATTTCGCTGTACATGAAAAGCTGCTGTTTCCTAGATGCCTTCGAGAGGTATCATTAAACTGAAAATGGCAATTATTTTTCCTCTCCTCCTGATGTTTTTTTTTCTTTCATCTTCCCCCTTCTGCTTCTAAAGTGACCAACCTACAGCATTATACCTGCGTCAATCATCCAAGATAATGAATACCAGTTGTTTATTCAAACACGGAAAATCAATTGAGCCATGTCTTACAGCTGTCCTCGCTCCATTCCCATTCATACAGGCTTCCAGCTGGTTGCCTGAAGCTCTCTGAAACTATGCATCTCTGACCCTAGCCCAGAGCTGAAAAAGACATTTGTAGCTCTCTCAGTCATAAACTTGTTGGAGCTGGTTACACTATTAAACATTGGAGCTAAATCTTGACACATCCTCGGCATTAGAGCCCAGTGCTACACCAAGCAATGTATTCACACAGCAGGGGACTGAAAACTTCAATAAAAAGCAGGAGAAAATATTGGAAATACTCAGTTAATGACTTTTCATCAGAAATGCTGAAAAAGTTTCTGATGGCAGATCAGCGACGTGGAAGGTTTGATCTACAAGGGACTTGAGGGTTATGGAGTAAGACAGGAAAGTGGGACTTAAGGTCACAACCAGATCAACTTTGATCTCATTGAATGGCTTAGCAGGTTTGAGGATCTGAATGGCCTAGTTATGTCCTCAGCAAAACTGACTTTATTTGTAAAAGGTGTTTAAATGTGGATGACATTGAAACAGAAAATGTTGGAAGTAGTTCTGATAGAAGATCACAACCTGAAACATTAACTCTGTTTCTTTCTCCACAGATGCAGAGTATTTGAAGCACTTTCTGGATTTATTTTAGATTTCCAGTATCCACAGTATTCTGCTTTATGGTTACTGAAAACTGTAGCTTGGAGCAATTAGATAAAACTGCTTCATTCATCTCAAATTTCCATTAACTCAGGCCATATTGTCACAGCTTTTCAGAATTCTACAACTCATACATAAGTTGTTGTAAAATCAGGCACTGATGTGTCAGCCAGGCTTCAGGTGGTAGCTCACACCTCCCAGTCACATTATGTCAGGGTTAAGTCACACTCTAGCACTTGAGCACAAATATAAGACTTGCACTCCAGTGCAGTACTAAGACAGTGCTGCATTATTGCTGGTGCTGTTTTTTCAGATGAGATGTTAAAGCAAGGTTGCATATAAGTGATCCAATGCTGCTAATTTGAAGAAGTGTTATAACTGGTTAACTAATTTATTGGAGTTCTTTCTACAAGCAACTGGTGCAGTCGATAAAGGTCAACCAGTGGAAGTATTGTACTTAGATTTCCAGAAAGCAATGAAAAATTATTGAAGAAAATTAAAACCGTAGTGTTGAGGGTAATATATTGGCATGGATAGAAGATTGGCAGGCTAACAGGAAGCAGAGAGTCAGAATAAATGGGTCTTTTTCAGGCTGGCAGGATGTCGCAGGTGATGTGCCACAGGGGTAAGTTCTAAAACCTCAACTCTTTACAAATTATATAAATGTTTTGGCTGAAGGGACTGAAGCTAACTTTGCTGGTGACACAAAAACAGGTAGTAAAGTGAGCGGTGGAAAGGATGTAAGAAGCCTACAAAGGGATGTAGTTAGGTTAAGTGAGTGTACAAGGATCTGGGGAATGGAGCATAATGTGTGATAGTGTAAAATTGTCCATTTTGGCAGAAAGAATAAAAAAAAACACATTACCTAAATGATGAGATGTTGTAGAGCTCCGAAATGCAGAAATTTGAATGTTCTAGTGCATGAATTACAGAAGGTTCATATGCAATTACAGCAAGTAATCATGAAAAGCTTTGTTATGTTTCATTGTGAAGAGAACTGAATAGTAGCAAGGATTAGTGAGGTTATACTACATAGGGCATCGATGAGACTGCATTTGAGCAGATTTCCTCATTAGGAGAGGCTAATCAGCCTGGGCCTGTATCCTCTGGAGTTTAGAAGAGTCAGAGGTGACTTAGTTGAAACATATAAGATCAGAAGGGGACTTCAGCAGGTGGATGTGAAAAGGATGTTTCCCTTTGTGGGAAAATCTAGAACAAAGGATCATAGTTAAAAATAAAGGGTCATCCATTTAAGACAGAGGTGAGGAAAAATAGTTGTCACAGTAGATTGTGAATCTTTGGAATTCCCTTCCTGGAAAGGCAGTGGATGCAAAATCATTAAATATTTTTAAGGCAGAAGTAGACAGATTCTGGATTACCGGGGCGGGGGGGGCAGTGAAAGATTATTGTGGATATGCAGGAATTTAGAGATGAGGTTAAAATCAGATCAGATATGATCTTATTGAATGAGCTTATTGAATGGTGGGATAGGCTTGAAGGATCAAATAGCCTACTTTGTTCCTTGTTTACGTATTGATATGGTGTCCTGACAAATACTTTTCCCTCAATCAGTATCTCTGCAATATATTAGATAGCCATGATCACAGTGCTGTTTGATAGGTCTCTTGCTTCTGATGATCTTAATGCTACGGTCTTAAAAGAAGTGACCAATAAGATGCATGGCATCAAATTTTCCAAAATCTATTTTGGGGAAGCAGTGGTGTAGGGGTAAGCTCACTGGACGAGTAGCCCAGAACCCCAAACTAATGTTCTGGGAATGTTCGTTCAAACCCTTTACTGCAGATGATGACACTTGAATTCAATAAAAAATAACAATGATTATGTAAACATCGCTGATTGTTGTAAAAGCCCATCTGGTTGACTAATATACTTTTGGGGAAGTAGATCGGCCACTCCTACCTGGTCTGGTCCCCATGTCATGCTGGATAAACACCAATGTGGCTGAACTGTTAAATTAGGGTTGGCCAGAAACACTGGCCTTGCCAGTGATACCAGATCCCATGAATGAACAAAAAAAAACTGTTAAGATTCCAAAAAGGTACCATTAAACGTGGTAGTAATTAATATAAACTCTCTATTCGAGAAAGTAGATGGGGGGCTGAAAACATGAAACTATCAGCCAATTAGCTTGATGTCTGTCATGGGGAAGGTGCAAAAATCAGTCCTTAATGAGGTTCTTACTTGGGACTTGGAAAAAACTCAAGGTAATTAGAAAGAATCAACATGGCTTTGTGAACAGAAAATCTTGATTAACCAACATATTAGAATTTTTTTAAGGAGTAATGTATACTGTGGATAAACAGGAGCCTGTTGATGTGCTGTACCTGGATTTTCAGAAGGCATTTAACAAGGTTCTTGTCAAAAGGTTCTTGTACAATGTAGGAACTCATGGTGTAGTGGGTAACATACCAGCATTGACAGAAGATTGGCTGGCTGGCAGAAAACAGAGAGTACAGATAAATGGGCCTTCGGTCAGATTGGCAGCATGTGACGAATACAATTCCACAGGCATCTGTACTGGGTTTTCAACATTTTAAAATTTATACTAATGATTTAGAAGTGGGATAGAAGGCATGGTGGCTAAATTTGCAAATGACACAAAAGTAGCTATAAAGATGTATTGCGAAGACAACACAAGGATTCAGAGTAATATACAAGTTAAGGGAGTGTGCAACAGATCTGGCAGATGGAATATTATGTGGGAAATGCTAAGTTGTTTTGGCAGGAAGAATAAAAAGTTCATATTACTTCAATGGAGAACAACTGTAGAATTCTGAAGTGTGACAGGATCTAAGTATTCCAGTCCATGTAACAAAGAGTGGGTACACAGGTACAGCGCGTAATCAGAGGGTAAATGGGATGCAAATCTTTCTTATAAGAGGAATTGAACATAAAAGTAAAGATGCAATGTTTCAGTTACACAGGGCATTGGTGTGACCACATCCCAAATAGAATTTTGGTCTCCTTGTTTAAGGAAGAATGTAAATGCATTTGAGGCAGTTCAGAGAAACTTTACTAGATTGTTTACGACAGTAAACAGATTGTATTGCAATGAAAGATTGGACAGACTGGGCTTGTTTACACTACAGTTTAGAGAGTGAGGGGTGATTTGATTGAAGTTCATTAAGATTATGAAAGGTGGTTGTGGAAGCGATGTTTAATTTTGTGAGTCCAAAGTTGGGGGACACTGTTGTAAAATTAGGGACAACTCGTTAAGGACAGAAATAGGCAATACTTTTTCTTCTCAGAGCATTATGTAAGTTTGGAACATTCCTCCTCAGAAGTGATGGAGGTGGAGTCACAAAATATTTTGAAGGTGAAGGGAGCCTGGCCATTGTTAGGTAAGGGAATTAAAGGTTAGCAGGGATTGTGGTCATTGGATTGCAGACAGGTCCATTGTAAACTTAGTGAATGGCGCAGCAGGCTTGCAGGACCAAATTACCTACTTGCTGCTCCTTTATTGGTCATGCGATTTAATTAATATTGTCTCCTCTTTTTGACATGAATAACATAATTTACCGTGACTGATCCAATTGAAATTTCTTCCGCCTAAATTGAAGCCTGTAATAATTCTGTTCCTGCAGCCTTTATGGTAAAACCAGAAAGTCACTCAGCCCCTCGTGCCCATGCCAGCCCTTGGAAAAAGCTCTCTAATTACACCCGCTGCTCTATGGTTTCCCCTAGCCCTGGCTACCAAGTGTTTATCCAATTGAATTTGAAAGTTACTATGTGTTAGCACAGCCTTTTAGGCAGTGCATTCCTGATTTTTACAAATCAGAGCATCAAAAACATTTCTTGCATCTCTTTCTCTGATCCTTTTGCCAATCTATTAAATTTGTTTCCTCTGTGCCTCAACTGTCCTGCCCTTTTCTCTCCACCAAATCTATTAAACCCCTTCTTAATTCTGAACCACTTTATTCATTCTTCCTTTCTCCATTTTAAGGAGATTCTCTTTCTTCTTCCCTCTATTCATGGGTTACTCCAACATTGAGCAAAACTATTCCTTAAATAAGGAGAAAGGAATCTGGGAGTTGTCACTGACCTGTGAAAGAATTTTGTTTGATATTACCCCTAAATTACCAACAGGTGGCCAGATTTTAATCATTCAATTTTTGCAAAGTGGGGAGGTTTGAAAGCAGCTGTCTTCAATTGTTGCAGGCTTATTTGTCAGAAAGTCCAATACAAGCCGTCCTCAAATTGTAGCAACAAATGATCTCCATGAATGTCTTCCGCATTTCCTGGCTACGGAATGCATAGATAAGAGGGTCAATGATTGAGTTACACATGATGAGGATCAGGTACAAATTAAAGTGCGACATGAAACACACACAGTACACATTCCTGGGACAAGAGATCATGAGGATGAGGTGCAGGAAGAATGGAGCCCAGCAGATGATAAAAATACCAAGCAGGATTGTTAACGTGATAGCCCCCTTCATACTTGCTCTCTGGTGGATTGAGTTGTAGCCGGTCAATGCAGCAATTCGCTTTGCATGCGAGCGAGCCAGGAGAAACATGTGGCTGTAGAGGGAGGCCATTAGGACCAACATAATGAAGAACATGGTGACCAGACATATGATGACGGGTGGGCTCTCAGAGTAGATGATGAAGATGATACCACAGCCTGTACAGAACAACCAGATACCTGCAATAATAAAAGCAGCTCGTTTTACTGTCATGATGTGATGGTAACGCAAAGCATAGAATATGGTGACGTACCTATCGACAGCTATGGCCAAGAGGCTACACATGGATGCCACGACAGAAATGCAGATCAATGAATCAAAGACATTGTCCACCTGTTTGGCCAAATTGTCTTCAACAATCAAATGCCTGTTGTTAACTAAGGCGATCACAATGGTCTCCCATGCATTGGAAGCACTTACCAGCATGTCAGCAATAGCGAGGCTGCAGATAAACAAATACATTGGGGAATGGAGGTTCTTATTCTTAATAATTGCAACAATGACCAAAACATTTTCCAGCAGACTCATAATACCTAGAGTTAGAAAAATCTCAATGGCTACACTGACTTGTTCACAAAAAGCAGACGTTCTTTTCATCTTATGCATTGTATCGTCACCAGGAGTGAGGTTCTGTAGCCATCCCACATGTGAGTGTAGCTCTGTTAAATTCATGTTTCAAATACACGCAGAATAGTCCTTTGGTTGTTTCAGTATAGAATGCTCACTGAGAAAGGTGCAAGCTCCGTGTCTAATCTTCCCTAAGTGAGAAAAAGACGAAGTTAAATTGAGAACAGAGACAGGGGAATTTATAATGAGAGGAAAAAAGAAGGAAATGGCAGAGAAACTATTGCTTTCCATCAGTCTTCACAGAAATTTCACTCAAGTCTACTTTGGTGTTTCTGATAAATCTCTAACTGCTCAGAGCATGCAGAGAATGAAACATAGTGCATCTATAGAGCACCTTTCAGATCTCAGGGGATCTCAAAGCACTTTACAATAAATCAAGTAGTTTTGAGAAGCATAATGACTATTGGATGTAGAAAATCTACACGGCAAGCACAAACGTGACCACGACCAAATCCTTTGTTTCTGGTGATATTGGTTAAGCGATATGCATTGACTAGGACACCAGAGATAACTCCCCGCTCTTTTTCATATTAGTATCTTTTACCTGTCCATCTGAAAGGGCAGGCATCTCATTTTTTACATCTCATCCAAACAACTTACATAGACAAAGGAGAAAAGAATAATCACCATCATTAATCTGGTTTTTAGGTTCAAAATAAACACAGAAGTGGGGGTTAACCTGGTGCTGTGCAACAATGCACTGGTGGGCAATGCAATGCACTGAGAACCAGTAGTTAGTCAAATATAGCCAATGTCATCCTTCATTAACTGAGCGCTGTAAGTCAGTTCTCTGTAGCAGGGCGAGATTATGGTTTTGCCCTCCAGCAGACTGGTTCCTGACCAGCGTATCTATCTGCCCTGCTCCTGCACATTTGGGCTGCATGTATTTACAAGACCACCCACCTCTAACTGAGCCTCCGAGATTCACAGGCTGCCAAATTCTGAGCTGGTACCTGGCGAGATGGTGAGTGCTGAGGGCTGCAGTCCTCCTCCAATTTTTCTGGTACAATCAGGTTTCTGACTTGTGACAGACCTGGAAAAATAGAGAGCGGGGCAAGAGTTAGCACTCAGTGGTCAGGGGAAGAAGAGAGACAGAAGACGAGCAGCTCAAAAAACAATTACTTGCTTCACTAACACAGAACAATGGCATTGTGTTTAACGTGGTAAAGGAAACGAGCAGGTACCATCATACCACTACAAGAGATTAAATTCCATTGTAACTGTAGCTAACAAGGGAAGCAAAAGATTGTATTAGACAAAAAGAAGAGGTTTATAAGTTTTGAAAAGAATACTTGTAAGCTTGAGGATTAAGTGTGCACTTTAGAATTCAGCAAAGCAGGATGAAGAAACTGATAAAGAAAAGAAAAAATGAACTACTGAGAGACATAAAAACAGAATGTAACAGTTTCTATAGCTCTGTAAAATGAAAAGATTAAGATAGACAAATGTGAGCATATTAGAGGCAGTGGAATTTATAATGAGAGACAAAAAAGGAAATGGCAGAGAAACTATTGCTTTCCATCCGTCTTCACAGAGGATGATACAAAATCCTTCCAAGGAATACTAGAAAACCGAGGCACTGACAAGAATTGAAAACAAATTATAAATCAAAAGAAGTACAAAGCTAATAGGATTGAAAGTTCATGAATTCTAATGACCTAAAAATCGATATAATAGTTTTGAAAGGGGTGGTATTGGTGAGCTTCTTCCAAAATTCTAAATATTCTGAAATGGTTCCTGTAAATTGGAAGGTTTTTTATTAATTTGTGGGATGTGGGTGTCGCTGGCTGGCCAGCATTTCTTGCCCATCCCTAGATGCCCTTGAGAAGTGGTGGTGAGCTGCCTTCTTGAACCGCTGCAGTCCTCCTACTGTGGGTTGACCCACAATGCTATTAGGGAGGGAATTCCAGGATTTTGACCCAGCGACAGTGAAGGAATGGCGATATATTTCCAAGTCAGGATGGTGAGTGACTTGGAGTGGAACTTGGAGGTGATGGTGTTCCCATATATTTGCTGCCCTTGTCCTTCTAGATGGAAGTGGTCGTGGGTTTGGAAGGTGCTGTCTGAGGATCTTTGGTGAATTTCTGCAGCGCATCTTGTAGATAGTACACACTGCTGCTACTGAGCGTCGATGGTGGAGGGTGTGAATGCTTGTAGATATAGTGCCAATCAAGCAGGCTGCTTAGGTGGCAAACTAATCCCAGAATACAAGAAATGAAGGACAGAATTAGTTAACAAGAAAAGTAGCAAATACACCACCAACTTCTCAACTGGGGATGGACAATAAATTCTGGCCCAGTCAGTGGTGCCCACATTCAATGAATGCGAGTTAGGAATAAATACATATTCATATTCCCAGGCTGGCACGTAGCACATTGGATAGACAACACAGCTGTCTGTATTCAGGCTGCAGGAAGCAGTGTCACTTTGCCTAACTATATTGCTCTCTACTACCACTACATTCCTTTCTTTTACTCTGCTCACTTAGAATCATAGAATCCCTGTAGTGCAGAGAGAGGCCATTTTGCCCATAGATTATGCACCAATCCTATCCCCTTATTTACCATAGCTAATCTGCCTAGCCTACACATCTCTGGACACTACGGGCAAATTTAGCATGGCCAATCCACCTAATCGGCACATCTTTAGACTATGGGAGGAAACCTAAGCACCTAGGGGAAACCCAAGCAGACACAGAAGAATGTGCAAACTCCACACAGACAGTCGCCCGAGGCTGGAATCAAACCCATGTTCCTGGCGCTGTGAGGCAGCTTTGTTAACCACTAAGCCGCTGTGCTGCCCAAAGGACTTAAATGGCTTTCTTCACTATGATACCAAGATGAGTTAATTCATCCATTTTACAGGCCTTAATTGTCATCCAAACAAGCTGAGAAATCTCACACCTTTTGGACAATTGCAAAAGTTGGGACTCCTGAATTCCTGGCCTCTGAGTCCCTGAACCTGTTTCAGTCACAGTCACACACATAATTCCTTGACTGCAAGCCAAATTAATGATCATATCCTAAGGGGTGCAACCACTTCCCGGAACAAAATGTCCCGGTAACGTTCCCCCCTTGTCGATGACATAAACATATATAAGAATTTTAGGGGACTTCATAGGGTGACTACAGAGAAGTTGTTTTCCCATGAGGGAGAGTGGGAGAGTCTAGTACCACATGGCATAATCTCAAAGTAAGGGGTTAACCATTTAAGACAGAGATGAGAAGGAACTTCTTCTCTGAGGCTAGTGAATTTGTGGAATTCTCGATCACAGAGGATTGTAGGGGCCAAGTCAATAAGCATGTTCAAGGTTGAGATAGTTAGATTTTGAATCAGTAAAGGAATCAAGGGTTATGGGGAAAAGGCAGGAAAGTGGAGTTGAGGATTATCAAATCAGCCATGATCACATTGAATGGCAGAGTTGACACAAGAGACCAAATAGCCTATTTCTGCACCTACGTCTACTGATCTTCTGGTGCTTCAGCAACTGCTTCTTAGCCTCCAGCCCATTGATTCCGGGATGTGTCTGCCCAGGATCACATTCGCATCCAGAAGCTCCCACTTCCTGTAATCATAGCATTTCATCTGACCTGTCATCATTATTATTGTGTATTAACAAATTAATTTTAACTAATTTATAATGAAAAAATGCTACACTTCCCATAAAGATTAGAACAAACAATATTAATAAAGTGCTCACAATTACTAATAGTTATATACAGTTAAAAGTTTAAAGATTTCCCTATTTTAATATCAGTAATATACACAAAGTACCTAACAGCACTTAATCATGAATCATTGGTTACATGAACCAATGAACTACTACTATCTTGTGAAGTCACCATTTGAATTTTTTTCCCAATCAGATACTCTCCAGAAGTTGCAGCTGTTAAATCTGGGTCTCCAAGCCTGGATCTCAATTTATCAATTTATATCTCAATAAAAAGGAAGAGCATTATCTAAATAGAACATAGAACAATACAGCACAGTACAGGCCCTTCAGCCCATGATGTTGTGCCGACCTATTATCCTACTAAGATCAAAATGATGAGAGATTGCAGATGTATGAAGGATATTTCCTCATGTGAGACAATCCAGAGGTCACAGTTTTAGGATAAAGGGTAATGGATTTAAAACAGAGATGAGGAGAAATTACTTCTTTCAAAGGCTCGTGAATCTGTGGAATTCATTACCCCAGAGTGCGATGGATGCTGGAACATTGAACAAATTTAAGGAGGAGACAGAAAGATTTTTAATTAGTAATGGGATGAAGAATTATGAACAGCGGGCAGGAAAATGGAGTTGAGGTTGAGATGAGATCAGCCATGATTGCATGAAATAGCAGAGCAGGCTTGAGGGGGTAAACTGTTCCTATTCTTACGCTCTTGAGAGGCAGAGAGATATGGGGAGCAGGCAAGTGCATGAATTACCAAAGATTAGTATGCATGTACAGTAAGTAATCAGAAAGCTAATAGAATGTTATGTTCTTTTATGAGAGGAAATAAATGCAAGATTAGGCAGGTTATGCTTCAGGTGGACAGGGCTTTGGTGAAACCCCATCTGCAGGACTGTGTACAGTACCAGTCACCAAAATTTATGGGAGAATATTATATATTAGAAGCAGTTCCAAGAATGTCGACTAGACTAATACCCGGAACGCGCAGATTGTCTTATGTGGAAAGGCTAGACAGGCTAGGTCCACGTCCTCTGGAGTTTAGAAGAGTCAGAGGTGACTTAAATGAAATATATAAGATCCAAAAGGGACTTGACCTGATAGGTGTCAAAAGGATGTTTCCTCGTGCAAAATCAAGAACTAAGAGGTCGCCCATTTAAGACAGAGAGGAAGAAACAATTATTTTCTCTCAGGCAGTCGACAGTCTTTAGAATTCCATTCCCCAAAAGGCAGTGGATGCAGAATCTTTGAATATTGTTAAGGTAAAGGTAGATAGATTCTTGATTGCCAAGGTGATGAAAGGTAACTGGGATATGCAGGACTAGAGTTGAGATTAAAATCAGGTCAGCCGTGATCTTATTGAATGGGGGAGTAAGCCTAAAGGGCAAAGTGGCTTACTCTTGTTCCTTGTTTGCATGGTATCCATTGCGTCCTCACTAGTTGTTGTGTTGTAACATGAGAACGATGAAATATTCGCTACCTGCCCGGCTGGGTACAATATCAACAATACTCAAGCCC